CTCGAAAAACACAACTCCTTTAAAATCCCAGCACACTGAGAGCATAACCTTCCTCTGATGAATGTCTGCTTTCGATGTCGTTTGAGGCGAATCATCACGTCGGGACCAAGACCGTTTGCGACCACATTGTTGTAAACAATCCACTTCTCATCACCAAGTTATCAGTTGCTTCAAAAAAGGATCGTTTTCCTCACGTTTAATAAGCGTATTGCAGATGTTTATACGTGCCATCAAATTAACTTCTTTGAGTTCGTGCAGAACCCAAATATAGAGCTTGCTTATGTATCCCAGCTTCTTCCGGTGGTCATGAATGCTTGAACAATGGATATTTAATGTTTCTGCAATTTCTCGTGTCGTGTAACTTGGGTTTGACTTGATCAATGCCTTTATTTTGTGATCATCAACCTCAGTGGGCCTCCCTGACCGAGGAGCGTCATTGAGATCAAAATCACCAGCACGGAATTTTGTGAACCATCATTGGCACTGACATTCTTGTAGAGCATTGTCACCGTAAACTTTATGCAAGTTTTCACAAGCTTGCCGTGCGCTTTTCCCTTTATGGAAGTAAAACAGTAAAATATGGCAAAAATGCACTGTTTGGTCTCCATCTTCAATTTGTAAAATCTCCAAAACTCAACCAAATCGCTCAATTTTTGTTTAGAATGAAGCTAGAACTGTTAGCTGTTAAATGACATAGAAATAACATAGATGCGAATGACTCTAGTATTTCCAAAAATGAACTAATGCCATCTGTTGCAAACATGCATCATGACTTTTCCAAAGACCCAATACATTGTTATTATTAAATCATTTAAATAGTGTAGAAGTAGAGTTATTTTAAGAAGATCATTTTCAAAACCACTTAAGTCACTTGTTTTTCCTTAACAAAGTAACTTTTTTTTTCTCTTGCCTTGATTCTTAAACCCCAAGTAAAATAAAGAGTAAGTGTGTGCACTGTTTGACCAGTGCTGTGGGTCCACTGCTCTACTAGTATCTCAGTTTCACACCTTGGATCTGGGGTTTGATTTGACCCTCCGTGCAAGCTACTAAATTAGCCTGTTTCAGTTTTGTGGATGCTGAAAGAAGATATGAGACTCCTGGGTCAGAGACAGAGCCTGACCACCAGCACATTTACATCAGCTCATCTTGCCTCAGACTTCACAGGGATGACACAATATGACTCAGAGGGATGCTGCACACACAGTGGGACTGCATAACAGGAGCACTAGGCTTAGTGAATCCATTGCTTTTGGGTTTTGCTAACAATCAGCTAGCAAACTTGCTCTTTGTCTCAGATTGAGATACTACTGCGTCCCTCAGAGTTGCTTGCTGTAAACATAACCTTGAGGAATGGCTCAGGACAAGAAGCATTAGGACCTTGAATTCTGACACACCCAGAAAGACATATAGAAGCACTGGAGACCCATAGAGGATTATCTCCCCCAGTAGACATCCTGGTGGTCTCATCATCACACTGGCTTTCTCCATTGGCTGCTATCAATATCCATGGGGGAAGTATTGCCCCTGACAGCTATCCGGAAAAGTCTTGAGTTTCCCTGGGCTTGGTCTATATGTGAATTAATCCCTGGGGCTAGGGGAATGTCCTTGATGTAGTCCTAGGTTTTGTACCCATTCCTAAACTAATCTCTGCTATAAGAAGAAAGATTACGCTGTTGCCTTAGATAACCACCTCACCACGCGGCCTACCCTGTTTGCACCCGGTGCGGGAGGGCAGGATGGGGAAGCACTGACTGGCTGTTCCGCACGGTCTCTAAGGGTGCAACTCAGGAGTCTTGCTGTACTTCAGACTTTGTCAAGTCAAAGGAAGTGGCGAAGAGGAAAAGAAATCAACTCTTTGGCTCTCTTTTGTAGACCTTAATTCTGGGAGATCCCATCTACCCTTTTATTTCACTTATACTAATGGAGTGCCAGCTAGGTATCAGGATCTGTATTAGACTTGGAGATATAATTCTGAGTATATGAGATATGACCCCTAATCTCACAGGGTTAATTAATAATTCAGACAATTAAGAGACCGCCGGAACAAGGAGGAAAGTGCAGGGTGATGGCAGCCTGTGGACAGAGCACCTAACCTGGACACGGATGGTCAGGAAAGGCTTCCTGGAGAACGTGATGTCTCACCTGAGGTTGGAGGGATGAGTAGGAATGATCAGGTGATCATGTGTGGCGGAGGGCTAGATGGCCTTGAAGAAAGCTTTAGCAGATGGAATGAAAAAGCAAGTTAGAGAAACTCAAGGTAGATCTGTGTGTGAATCAAAGCATTCAAGGGGAGAGAGGAGGTGGGAGAAGAAGTGAGGAGTGGGAGGCAGGCGGTGTTACCACCTAAAGGAGTCTGACCACTCGGAGAGCCCTGAAGGCTTTAAACAGAGGAACAACAGGAGAGATGCTGCATTTTAGAAATGTCACCCTTATAGGCAGAGTAAAAAATGAATGGAGGGCGGAAACAAGGCTGGAACTGAGAGACGAGCTAGGAGACTGTTGATGTCCAGGCCAGAGGTGTAGGCGATCGTAGCGGTGGGATTGGGGTGAAGGAGAGGGTTTCTGCTGTATGTCGAGTTGGAGCTATAGGTCTTCATGAGCCACTGGGTGCATGAGGTGAGCACAGAGGAGCTCACGAGCCTGCAGACAGGATGGCGATGACAAGGACAAGAAGTCAGGCAGGCAGAAGTTCAAGTCTTGACTCTCGCACTTAGGATCTGAGTTAATTCCCAGGCACTGGACACTAACTACCTCACATGGTTGCTTTGAGGATAAATAAAACGCTATACGTTAGGTTCCCGACACAGTACGTTTTCAGTAAGTTACAGCTATTTTTGAGTCCCTGGCTCTCTGTCTTGAGGAGCTAGTTGGATGGAGAAACGATTCATTGAGTGTGTAGCAGTTAGGCGTGTGCTGGCTACAAGGAACAGTAAACTGCACCAACAGCAGTTTAAACATGCATGGGTTATTTTTCTTCCACAGCCAGAGGACTGAAGGTGGGCCACAGTTGGGCGTTAATTCAGTCAGGACTGGCATCTTTGCCGTTATTTTCAGCTCCACCTCATGGTCACCACCTGCCTGCCCCAGTTCCAGCCTCCAGCATGACACTTCAATTTACATCAGGGTTGAAGAGAACCAGACATAAGAGAAAGGTGATGAGTTAGTTATCCTGAGATTGGGAACACAAGTGGAGAAGCCGAATTGGAGGGAAAATAATGAACTTGATTTTGAATATACATTGATTTTTAGATTTCTGTGACATTCACATACAAACAGGTTAACTAGGCAGTGGGATATAGTGGCCTGGAGTTATGGAAGATATCTGGGTGTGGGTGGGGAAGTTAAATTCTGCAGGTTAAATGAGAGAAGCCACAGAAAGGGCGCAAGGCGGGCAAAGAGGATGGGGACATGCGTAGCCCTGCACAGGGCACAGACGCTGCGGGAGGGGCCGGAGCTGCCGACGGCTCACGCGGAGGGGCCGCGAGGCAAGCCGGGAGCGCGGGGGGAAGAGGATGAAGCGTCCACAGGAGCGGGAAGGGGTAAGTGACCTTGTCCAGAGCTTGTCCTGCTGTGAGTGGGCCGAGGAGCAGAAGAGAATGGAAACTGGAAAGGACAAATGTCAGAAGGCCTTTTTTCTTTTGTTCTTAGAGTTCATCTTCTAGGATGTCTCTCCCTCTCTCTCTCTCTCTCTCTCTCTCTCTCTCTCTCTCTCTCTCTCTCTCTCTATATATATATATATATATATATATATATATATATATNCTCTCTCTCTCTCTCTCTCTCTCTCTCTCTCTCTCTCTATATATATATATATATATATATATATATATATATATATATATATATATATATATACAATGAATTTGGTAAAGTCAATTCACAATTCACCTTTCTGAAAGGAATCAAACTTCAGAGTGTTTGGTCTTCATGACCTTCAAAGGGTCCCTTCCCGGCTCCTCTTCCCTCCAGGGAGGAAAGTGCATAAGTCACGTCACTTGACGCGCTCGGTTTCTGGAGAGCAGGCTGTGCATGTTCACCGTGAGGTGCTTCCTGGTACTGAAACACGCAGAGAGCCTGGCGGCCGCTTCTGTCTGATGCCACACGTACCACACGCTAACCTTCCCAGGCACCTCAGAGTGTTTTAATGTGGAAATAAAAGCATTATGGGGGGAAATGCTCCATTTTGTATAATTCTGGTAGACTGTATTCAAATTTCAAACATTAAAATATTTTGGACCACATTTTATAAAATCGACTTTGCTGCTTGGGCCACCCAGATTTAGAACACACGATGAGAGACTATAGAAATAAGAGACTTGTGGGTGACGTTGTACACAGCTGGCTGGCTGACTGACTATTCCATTCAAGTCTAAGACGTTTCTTTCCTGCTGAAGAGGGAAGAAAACGAAGCACTTAAGTTTCAAATGCTGCAAACCATGCCATAGGCATAGTTATAAGAATGGAGTTTCCAAGGGGGAAATCCCCTCTCCTTTATATAAATAGTTCAGAAGAGTACTTTTCAGAATAGGAGGTTTTAAAAAAATGTCTTGCTTTCATTTATTTCCTCTTCTTATGGGATTAGTTGTGCAGGCTGCAAACAGTACAAACTTAGAAAAATAATAATTAAACCCACTCTAACTCCCTTTGTCTGTTTCAGTCATCAGTGTGGTAATTCTGAAAACATTTATTTGAGAGAAACTAATCCTCTAGTAGTTGAGCTGCCAGAGCTCACATTCTAGGATGCCACGCGTGGCCTGGAGGTTAAAACCTTCATGTGCCCTCTACTATTTATAGACCTATTAAATGAGAGTTTCGCGACCGTTCTTTCTTCTATGTGCTGGGATTTCACCCCCAGCGCTGGAGAACGTCTGCTCCCCGCCCATCTTGCCCTACATGGGGACTTGCTCCTGGTGTGAGCCCCTTTCCCCGCCCTGACGGTGGGCTGAGCGAAGGCGCGTGACGCAAGAGTGGGCCGTGGCCCTGCAGCGGGCGCGCCCCGCCTCTGCCTGCAGGGTCCCATTAGCGCGGGCGGCAGAGGCTGGACGCCCGGTGCTGCCTCTCTGCAGGAGCCCGACGCCAAGCGCGCATCCTCGGCTGCGTGTGTGTTTTACAGCCCTCCATGCTACCCGACTAAAAGGAGAAAATGGGCACCGGGGATTTCATCTGCATTTCCATGACCGGAGGGGCGCCCTGGGGCTTCAGACTGCAAGGTGGCAAGGAGCAGAAGCAGCCCCTCCTAGTTGCTAAGGTAGGACCAGAAAAGCGCCGAGCCGACCGCGCTGTGCCGGGCAGGAGGGGATGAAAGCAACCTGTTGACGGGTTTCAGGTTCTGATTCAGAAGCCTACACATTAGTTTGCCTTAGGTGCTATGTTGATTTTTTTTTTAAGGATGTTTGGTTTGTTTGTTTCAAAGAAACTTTGGAGAATAACATATAGCATATATGTAACTAAGCAGCGTTGAAGGAAAAGAAAAGAGTGCCATATTTACCGGCTGAGGAAAAGCCCCATCAGCTTCCCTGATAAAGCAGCAGGACTCTTGGGGAGTGTCTTCTAGGCAGTGCTGGGAATTCCAGTTGTTATTGTTTCATGTCACTCGGCTCTGGCAGAGGAAACCCACTCGGCTAGACATAGCCAGTTGGCTTGGCTATTTTGTGGGCTTACGAAGGGGTGGTAGTGACATTTATAATGCATTCATGAGAAGGCCAATTTGGGGAAATAATTTTTAAAGTATGATGAAGATGCCGTAAAATCTATTTGAAAGAATACTCATTTAGGGATTTGACAAATCCCAAAATCCAAGTACTGTGTTCCATTCATATGTCCTTATCTGCTTAAGTGCTCAAAATAAATTCAGAGACACTCAAAATATATTGTAAGGAACTCAGAGGTAACTTTGAAATGCATTTAATAATGATTTTTAAATGTTTGAGATGTTTTGGTTGCCATTAGATTGCTTGTTTCTTAGCTTAATATGCTACCGGTTTGCCTGAAGGGATCTCTTAGTATCCATTAGAGATCCAGCTAAAATAAATTTTAAAATGCATGAAAATAAGCAGACTTATCTGATTTTAATACCAAATTGTGGTATTGTATGAAAAAGCATGTTTGATTAATTTCCTGTTTTATACTTATATTAAAAATGGATCTAGATCTTTCTGAACTATATGGACCACTGGCCTTTATAGTTATTCTTCATCTTTGGCTTTTTTTTTTTCTTTTTTCTTTTTGAACGTTCACTGTGAAAAAAGGAGTTCCTTTGAAATTTTCTGCCCCCAGGCTTCCGTCAGAAAATCCGTCCGTGATGTGATGGTGGAATCCTGCCACCTAGTGATAATTTCAAACATAAGAACGAAGCATAAAACAGGAGATGAAAAGTAGGAGTTTCAGAACTGGAACATTTCTGAGATCTCGAGTTCAACTCGCTAATTTTCAATGCGGCAAGAGCCCAAAGAGGTTAAGTAGCCTCTCAGACCTTGGCTTAGAACTGGCAGCGATTAAAAGGTGCAGGGAGGTTGTTTCCTTGTGTTTCTCTAGGAGACGGTGGAGAGCAGCATCAGACACATTAATACCTAATTCAGCGATCGTAGAATTAATTCATGGGCTGGGAGTGGATTTGCTCCGGGTCCAGAATAGCTGTTGGCTGGGTGCAGTGACTAAGATTTGGGGTCTAAATCCAGCTCTGATCTAACTTGCAACCAGGCCAGAGACAAATCTCTTGCCCTTCTGACTCATCTGGTGTGTGTGTGTGTGTGTGTGTGTGTGTGTGTGTGTGTGTGTGTGTGGTATAAAGGGAGAGAGACACAAATTTGGAGTCCAGAGGAGGAAATCGGGCTCTGCCGTCAGTGAGGTTCTATGTTGCTCGGGTATCCTGTAGTCATAGAAGTATATATTTTATAATCACTTGCCACCAGTTAAAATGTGGGGATAGAAATAGCTCAAAGCTGTTAATTCCTGGTGGCTCTTTCGTAGCCAGACCTTAAGAAGAGAGTGGGTACTGGGCTTCTCTTGCGTTCTCGATGTGCTTATTTCAAAGTGGAACCACGGTGTGTGATGTTTGAAGAACTGAAGCCAGTTGCTAGTAAAGGGTGCTTTACAGGCGTTTCTCTGCTGATGGCGGGATTCAGAGGCCATTACACCGGGTGAGGGTCGAAAATTCAGTCCTGCTCTCCCCCCAAAGGCATTTTTCTAAAATACATTCGTAGTTTTAAAAAAGATCATTATTAAAGCACCTGGACGTTTGCCTTAATTCGTGTGTGTGTGTGTGTGTGTGTGTGTGTGTAGAGAGAAAGACAGAGAGAGAGAGACCTATAGTTTTCTTTTTATATGTAAAAAGTGACTAGAGAGACTTCCAAGGACGATATAATTTCTAAATTACTGTGGCAATGTCCACTTTTGTTGTTCTATTTTTTCCTTAATTAAACTTATTGTATTTAATTTCCTATACTAACATTTCTTGTTGTAGAAAACCCTTGGAGCAGAATGAATGCTCGTCACTTTCCATGTTTTCAAGGCCATGACCTCTCTGGAATCACTGTTTTTCACCTAATACATTGAGTCAACTTGATTCCACTAACGGTTTCTCACTGAGTCGAGGTGAAATGAAGGTTGCTTGGGCATAGACTGTCTCGTCTTCTAAGCACTGGCAATAACTCATTAGGGCCAAGTTACCTCCAAGCAGGAAGACATAGAGAAAAGAGACAGGATGGTTGGGTAGGGGGTGCTTGCTGGCAAGCAAAGTAAAATTCTGAGGAATACCTAAAGGATTAGTTTGGGAACTGAAGAAAATATATTTCCAAAGACAAGAAGTTTTCAGACAGTGCTTGAATCGTGCGCATAAAATGGGAACGCTACGGAGCAGTTCTATAGACAACAACACATTTTTGGCTTGTAAAGTATCTAATGTTTAGATTTCCATAATTTTGTATAGAATTAAAATCTGACAAGCTGAAATATAATAGCAAAAGAAAAACTAGTCTAATGTTATTACAAATGATTAGAAATTGGATAGCTTTATCATCCTCAAATAGCTTTCTAGTGACATGTGCAGTTACTTTTGAGAGATGTTCAAATGTTTTTAGTGTTAGGCTGGCTAACTAAACTGTATGCAAACTCTAGCTTTCAAAGGCCACCAACAGAAATGGTAATAATCAAAACTTTTCATTGAGACTGAAGCTCAAGGTCATAAAATTCTGTTTTGTTTTCGAGAATAAATTCAATTTTAAAAGGCCCAAATAATCGGGAACATTACCCCATTTTAAAACTGTTTATATGTCTTTTAATTTGTGTTCTAATTACATGTGATAGGAAGTAAATATTTCTAAAACAGAATCATGACAGTACTCTACAAAGTGTATTTCCAAGAGATCATCTGTAGAAACAAATTTATCCAGACATAATTACAATACAAAACCCCATTGTGTGTGTGATGTCCTCATAAAAAGTATGTCAGCACTTTCACTTCACAAACCCTCTTTTTTGGAACATGCACTTACATGGCTGTGTCCCTGGATGTGCTCTTGGCAAATCTCTTTGGAAAATGTTCATATAAAGCTGGGGAGAAAATTTTGTTTTACAAGCAAATCTTCTGAACAATTCAGAAATAACTCACATTTTGAAAATAATGAATAAGGAAATGTTTACACCGTTTATCTTTTGCACGTTTTAGTGTTTAGGAACGTAAGCGTTCTTCAAAAGTTATAGACTACTATGGTACTTACTCACCTATTACATTGTAATTCAAAGGTTCAAAGAATTGTTTCTTAAAATTGAGATGACAAGTTATAATCACCCATATTATAAGACAGAAGTAGATTTAAGGATTCTTATCTATTACTGCATATACTCTCTTTAGAACTTTAAATAAAACATGTTATTTAGGCAAAGCACATTCAAATAACATAATTAATATCCCTTAGTGTCATCAGTGAAGTTTCTAAAGTGTTTCAAATAAAATAATTCCAGAAACATTTTCTAAAAGGGAAGGAAAAATTTTAATGTTTGAATATGGATATTTGAGGATAAATAGTTCTTACTACATATGGAAAGCTAGTAACATCCTTATTGGAAAGTATGACAGAGCATTTTTTATTGATTTTTGAGCACTTTCTAGAAACTCTAAGAACAGGTATGCTTACAAGTCTGTGCATACTAGCTAAATCTATTGAACAGATGTTTTATAAAATCTTCATTTTGGAATTGCGTGTTTGAAGACAGATCACTGTTTGTTGGGAGACAATGAGATAAAAAATGACTGTGCGTGTGACCCAGCACACATGTAGCTTCCATTTGTCAAGCCCTTGTCATGTGCCAGGAAATGTTCCAAGTTCTTGTGATATTATGTCTTTCAATGATCCCCTGAACCTAAGTAGTAGTATGAGAAACATCCTCATTTTAGAGCTCAGGACATCCAGGCACAGAAATGCTAAGTTACCTGCCAGAGGTTCTAAACCTCAGTGGGACTTCAATGGCACTGGTGGAACAGGTGCTTAGAGGTTAAAGGGCAGTTAGGTGGTCCCCAAAAGGGAGATTATAAAACATACCATGGTCTTTATTCAACTCTGATTTAATCAGTCAGGGGAGCCCTCAGGCATTCGAAGGTAACTCTGATGTGTGGTCAAGATTCGAACTGCTGCTGTAGAAAGTTGAGGCCACCTATGTCCCCACAGGGCTCAGTGAAGGTGGCACAATATGTCCTCCAGCACTTCCCCCGGTGACGTAAGAGGAGGATCAGAGAGCGGCAGGAACTGTCCCCCATCCATCCTGGGCACAGTGAGCAGCCATAATTAGCGGTGGGAGGATTTCCCTTTCTGAAGCCAAGATGGGTGGGCTGGGTGGGGAGAAGAGGTGCTGAGAGCTCAGAGATGATCCTGTGAAGCCTGAGGGTGCCCGCAAGGGAGGAGTCTGGCAGTTTGTGCCTCAGCAGGATGTGTTCTTCGTTAGCAAAGCTGCTGACCGCCTAGTGCCCACATGAAGGATGGGTGAGGGGGTGGGAGGGGTGACAGGAGAAAACTGGGGAGAGGTGCAGTGGGGGAGAGGAAGAGAGGCGGAGAGAGAATGAATAGGGACTTGCCCATTTGGTAAGGAAGGATCCTTGCGGTTCCCGTGGGTGAAGGCCTTCGCCATCATGCCAGTCCCCTACCCCCACAGGCCCAGTTCTCAGCCAGGGGCTGGCAGATGCCAGCTGCATCTTGGAGGCCTGAGAAGGGGGTAGAGGAGCGGGCAGGAGCTGGTTCCCGTGGTAGGGAGCTG